ATGCAAACACTCGTTTTAACACACAGAGGACTTGATTATACTCACACTCATCTTTGAGGTCTTCACGTGCACTTCCTCTCGAGCCCTCTTGGTGGGGGGGAGGATTGCCTCCGCAGCCCCTGAGGCAAGTTGCTCGGGGGTCAGCATCTTCTTCCTCCCCTTCCCACGGGACCCACGCCCTCGTTGCCTTGGTTCCTCCACCTGTGAACAAACCAACACTTTGATCAAACACACATCAGACAACGCCAAAGGGCGCGCTGCCCGCCTCTCCACCACCTCTCGAGCTTCGTCACGCCGACGCGCTGCCCGCCCTCCATCACCTCTCCCCTCGACTGGCACATCACGGCTTTTATTTGGTGCGCGACGCTGTGCTCCGCCGCGCTGCGCGCTCCCCAATATGCCACCCCTCCGACACCTCATACTGCACACAAGCGGCCCCGGTCGGCTTCCTCTCGACGGGCACCTCACGGCCTCGCTGCCCTCCCCGACGACGGGCATGCGGATGTAACATCGCATCCACACGTGCGACAACTCTCCGCCCGACCTCCTGGACGAGACCAAGGGCAACGAGGAGCACAACAAAGGGACGCAGCCGCGGTGGACCCCTGCATCCACATGAACGACGACGCCATCAGGAGAACCCGGGAGCTAGAAAATACGAACTCAAGAATACACATACTTACAGCTTGGAAGTCCTCTTCATTAACGTCGAGGACGGGGAGCGGGGGCACGCCGGGGGTGTCGATGCACACCAACGGGGGCAAGTCCTCGCCGGCGGGGGTGATCATCTTTTACGGCGCCACGGCGAGAGGGGCGGGGGCGTAGAGGGCGACGGCTTGTGAGATGGGGACGAGGGGTGGAGGGCCCTCGTGCAGCTCTACGAGCGCGTCCGCTGCGTCCAACACCATCAGCTCCCCCAGATCTAGATGGTGAAAGTAGTCGCGCGCCGCGCGCGCTCGTTCACGTAGCCCCACCAGGGGATACAAAGCTTCCTCCTGTAATAATAGGAAAGCCAGTGTCAAAACTCGCTATTGCTCGGCTGATCACGCGAGCGCTCGTATGAGCCGAATGCGGCTGACCCCAACACAGCCGAAGTTCGATAAAGAGTCAGAATCCCAACGTTTTTTGAACACAAATTCGAACGCCCCAACTATCCGCCCTCTGTTTCTCACGGTCCTGTCAGATCGGACGAGCCGAGCCGGGGGACGCGCCGAGCCAAACGCAATCAGGTGATCGCGCGAACGCTCCAACCAGCCGAGCGACACCCGAACACACACACGCACACACACCCGACGTTCTAAGTAGCAACATTCTGAGCCCCTCGTTTTGAACACAAATTCGAACGCCCCAACTACCCTCCCTGTGTTGTCACGGTCCTGCCGCGTTCGACCGGCCGAACCGAGCCGAGCCCGAGGGGTGGACGACTGGGCGGCTCCTGTGTACAGGCCAAAATGTACTCCAGGTGTTCTCCGATTGTACTCCG